AAGAAATAGCAAGGTTTTTAATATTCCAAGTTAAATGTTCTTTCACTAAATACCCGGTAATTGGTAATGAATTTAACAAATATTGATTCATAGTAGAGGCAACTTCTATAAATACTAATGTTTTCGATGGAATGAAAGCAATATTGATTCCATTTGATACCACTCTAAATGTCAATAGTTCAAATAAAAACATGTTCACATCATAAGGATGATTTATCAACACGATATTAAGATGTAGGCTTTCGATAGCCTTGATTTTAGTTTCAGATAATTGTTTAACTAGTTTTTCAAAAGTGACACCATCACTTACTAAGACACTTCGTGGAATTAGACCATTATCAAAACTATATTCTTTAATCCATTCTGTTTTTCCTTGCCCGGATAAATCTGAAGAAATAGTGAATACATTCGGACACAATTCCTTATATATGTTTCGCATTGAATCTGCATTAAGTCCATTAGTTATATGGACATATTCAGAAAATTGATCAAGTATATGATGATGCATGCCATTTTCACGACAGCAAATTAATGCTAAATTAAATTGCCTCTCTTGTTGAGAAAGAGAACGTATATGCGTAACTAAATTATACTGCAATTCAAAATCAAGATTTTCTACGTTAGCTATACAAAATAATTGATCTCCATATCCGTTTTTTTCAGCAAAGAAGCATCGTTTAGTAAAAATTAAGAGCTCTTCTGCTGTAGTAGATGCTTTACAAATTAGTAATTGCCATGATTCTGGATAACATCGGTTTAGGTTAACAGCATATAAGCTCATTATAATATTTGGTACTCTGAATTTATCAGTGCATGCAGCAACAAAAAGTTGTCCTGGATGAACCACATCGGACATTATTTGTTCAACATCAGCTGTTATTGGACGTTTTTTCGCTGGCACTTTGTCAAATATTTCGCTTAACCTTTCTCCAATTCCACAAAGGATATCAAGATGAGTATCAGTACTGTCAATATGTTTTTCTACTGTAGGTGGTAATTCGGCTTTGTCATTGACTAACCGTAAAAGCATTCTACATTTATCTTTACTGTTTTCCCCATTAGATTTTGATGTTGATGTAAAATAATCATAAAAGACCAAAATTTGCCTAGCTAGAAAGAAGGTTAAATAATAATGGTCTTGCTGTGCAAGATCAACTATGTCTTTCCACTCCTGCAAATTTTCATTTAAAGTTTGTAATAGTTCTGCGCTTTGTCTCGCAGACTTCGTCGAATATTTAAAATTTCGGTAATCAAAATGGCCAAGCTCTACAAGCTGCGAAGATACGTTAATTATCTGTTGTGCCAGGTCAACTTGGACAACAAATTCATTCATATGGAAGGCAGAGATTTCACTACTTTTACTGCTATCATCTGATGTCTTTGTGTTAACAGGACTTTTGGCAATTAAAAGAGCACGACCACGTAGGTCTTGTAGATCATTAAAGGTATACTTTGTTAATGCATTTACATCCCGTGCATTATGTGATTGATATGATAATGTTGCAGTACATTTGTATTCTTCATCATCTATTCTCTGAAAAGTGTACTCTCCTTTTGTTACTGCATAGTAGATTCTTTCTTTTGTAACTTCACCTCGATTCGAAATGTTTTCGTACATATTTTTTAATGCTTGAGCATGAGCATTACATAATCTCAGTTTGCCAGAGAGTGTCTGATTCTTAGAGATTACATTGAATAGACTTCTCAAAAACTTTTCTACTGCTAAATCAGCCGAATCTTCACTTTTAGTCACTAAGGGCTCCAAAATTTGTTTGACTCGGATAAATGTTGAAACCGTATCTTCCTGTATCAAACGTTCATCAGAATGATCATCTACACCATTAATTAAATTTTTTAAATCATGGCCTACAAGTGATTGTAGAAAGATAAGAAAATCTTTTGAATCTGCCATTTCCTTAATTATTGGCCAACATTTTTCTAATTTATATTTATCAATATTTCTTTCTAATTCCTCA